AGCCCTCCCTCGGGGGGCCGGGGGCTGGTGCCCCTCTTGACCCTCTGCTGCTCACTCTTGGCTGGCCAGGTGGGGAACATGGAGGGGTCGATGGGCAGGGGGGTCTCTCGGAAGTACTCGTGCTTCAGCCCGTCCTCCGCCGTGATCCGCCGCGCCGGGTAGTACGTCAGGAAGCTGCCAAGGGGAAAAAGGGAGATTTCAGCCCCCCAAAATTGTCAGTTACTCAGCAATGAGGTTGAGGGTTTTGTGATGCTCAACACTGGGTATTGGGGATGATTCTGTTACTGCTGTTGGGTGTAATTCTATTAATTTGGTGTAATTCTATTAGCTGGATATAATTCTGTGAGTGGGTATTGGGTATAATTCTATTCCTTTGGTATCATTTTATTACTGGGTATTGGGTATAATTCTATTAATTTGGTACATTTTATTACTGGACATTGGGTTTTAATTTAGTGTAATTTTATTCCTGGACATTTGGTATAATTCTATTACTTTGCTATAATTTCATTACTGGACATTTGGTATAATTCATTACTTTGGTATGATTTTATTTCTGCACATTGGGTATACTTATATTAATTTGGTATAATGTTATTACTGGGTATTGGGTATAACTCAATTACTTTGGTATAATTTTGTTACTGCACATTTGGTATAATTCATAGGGTATAATTCTATTAATTTGCTTTAATTTAATTGCTAGTATTGGATATAATTTTATTACTGGGTATTAGGTATAAATCTATGACTGGGTATTGGATATAATTCTGTTAATTGGGTATTATGTACAATTCTATTAATTTTGTATATTCTGTGACTGGGTATTAGGTGCAATTCTATTAATTTGGTATAATTCTGTTAATGATTACTGCCACATCATCCAACAGCTGATTTTTAGGGCAGCCTCCTCCATGAACCTGTAATTTATGGGACAGCAGATGGAACTACACATCCAAACAGCTTCTGCAGGGATCTGCTCCCAGAGTTATAAATCACTGGATACTCAGACCCTTGGATAGACAGATAAAAGCTCCAAAGGGATCCAGGGTAATTCCATTAGAATATTTTACAATTTTTCCTATTTCAAGAGAGATTTTAGACATTCTATTAATGCACCAGGTACTCCTGTAACACAGTTTTACTGCACAGCCTGGGCTTGATTTTATAAACCTTTTACAACACAGAAAATTGTCTTCCTGCCCACAGATTCCCAGGGATCCCCTGGAATTGGCACCCACTTGTTCATCAGGTCAAAGCCCTGGTCAGAGAGCAGAGCCCCGAATCTCTTGCGCAGGTTGTTGTAGGGATATTCTGTGAAGGTCATTTTCTTCACTGCTGGCAGCTCGTTGTAACCAGGCCAGATCTTTTCACTGGGAGTACCCAGATCCTGTAAATTAAAATATCTCTTTAATAAACTCAGAGTGCAATCCTTTATTTATTCATTAGGAGTTGGGAAGTATCCAGAGAAAACAAACACAACAAATTGTGATCTCAGCCTATTCAAAGTGTGGCAAAGCAGATTAAATAACTTTTTATTGAGGCTGAATCTCTGTTAAGGAACAACAAGCACTACTCCAATGCTCCTGTTTCTAAAACCAGTCAAAATCCCAAAATATTAAAAAAATTACCTTAAAAACTTTGTTAATCTGGTCGATTTCTGACTTCCCTGGAAACAGTGGCTTCTGCGTCAGCAGCTCCCCAAAAATACACCCCACTGACCACATGTCTATGGCTGTGGAATATTCCTGGAAAGAAGGGAAATAAAGTTACACCTCAGAAAAATCAAGAAGATATTTTCACCAACTTATTTGGAGGGATGTTATGGTTTCTGGACGTTTATTTGGGTTTTTTTGAGCACAACACACACAACCAGTCCCATATCCAAGGGCCAGCTCTCAACACTAATTATTTCAAACTTCTAATTACTGTCAATTATGAGCAATACCAATGTACACAAATCTTGCAGGATGAAAGGTGGAAGTCTCCACGCTGACGTCTCTCTTTTCCACTCACAAACAAAGCAGCACAGCTGATAAATCAGTATTTTTTTTGGCAGGGCTCTTGCCACTGCAGCCCTATAGAACCCTGATTTCACCCAAATTCCAGTTACCAGCAGGAAACATTCTAGAATAGTGCCAGTGCCTTGTTCTGCTCTCAGATGTCACAGGTTTTAGACTAATTTAAAAAGGCATTTAAAATCCAGCTGACAAAGGTGACATTTTGCCACAATCCATGAGGAGTTCATCAGCACTGACCACGTCAGCACTCCAAGGGACAAACTCCATCTGTCACCCATCCAACCCTGTGTGTGGGGAGGATGGAAGGGTTTTAGATGTCATTAGGAGGAATAATACTGAATATTCAGGATTTTCAGCTATGAATCAGTATAAAGACCCAAGCATGCTCACACTTTTAATCATGATTTGTAAAATACAGTCAGGCTGCAGTCACTGCTCCAGCAGCCAGAAGGAGGAACTCACCTTTGCTCCAAGCAACAGCTCTGGAGCTCTGTACCACAGGGTCACAACCACAGGGGTGTAGGGCTTCAGGGGAGACCCATATTCCCTGGCTAATCCAAAATCTCCAACCTGAAAGGAAAATAAGCAACATTTCCAGCACTGCTCATTCATCATCAATGCCACGATGGCCACTGCACAGAATTTTTGGCACAGCTGTAACTCTGTAATTCTGCAGCACAGAATTTGTCCTGATTTCCTCCATTTTTTTTTTTCCTAATTCTTACTTTTAAAATGCCTGAATGACTGAGCAGCAGGTTGGAAGTTTTCAAGTCTCTGTGAAGAATCCAGTTGTCGTGAAGGTGTTTGACCCCTCGTAGTAACTGAATCATTAAAGTCTTCACTTCCCCTGGAATGATAAGAAATGCATTGAAGAAAATAAATCTACCTTTAATTTGTGGTTTGCTTGTTTGGAGAACAGGGAAAGGGGCAGGAAGGAGTGGCAAGTTAAAAGCACAGTATAGCCTGCACCATAAAAATGTGTCACAGAACAGCAAAATTAATTTGGGTAGCTGGAATTCATCCAAATTATGCTCAGAAATTATTGTCTCTCATAGGAAGCAGCCAAAATGAAAGCCCAGTGTTTTCTAGTTCAGCACAGGGGAAACACTCCCAGCTCCACCCCAAACACACAAACTGTATTCATCACCAGCTATCACCACGATGATCAGCCAACACCTTAATTTGGGTCAGGTTTTACAGAACAAACAGAAAAAGGCAGGAAGTCTCAGTTCCAAGGAACACAGGACATTCCAAAGCAACACATGGCACTGCCCAAAGCCAGCAGGGCCATTTGTGTTGGCCACTTTTCCAGCTCTGAGAATTCCAGGGCACTGCGGCAAGCAGTACCTGGCAGGAAAGGCTGTTTCATTGTTTCCATCAGGCTCTTGAGGTCGTGCTCCACATAGTTCATCACAATATAGATTTTATCCATGTTACTGCCCACAACGATCTCCTGCAACACAGAACCAGATGAGTAAAATCTACAAATGGTGTTTAAAAAGCATCCAAAATCAGTTTTAGAAATGTACTGGCAAGAGGATGGAGGCTGCCATTGGTAAAATCATTAGAAAATGTATTTTTTCTATGAAAAACCAGCTCATTTTTCGTAAAACATCAGATTGTGCAGACAGTGATGCCTATACAGCCTTATGAGCAGCACACAACTGTTCACAGAAGGAAGATATTTTTGTATTTAAAAGCCAAGAGGAGTATCTCAACAACAGAAGTACTTCAGACATAGAAGACTGCAGCCTTACTCTGACAGTGACAATATTCAGGTGCTGCGCTTTCAGAATTGTATTTATTTCTCTCAGAGAAGTAATGGGAAAACCTTCCTTCTCCTTTTCCATTTTCAGTCGCTTCAGAGCCACTATTTCATCTGCAAAGGATGAAAACATCACACAGTTAATAATTCACATTAACAGGTGTTCTCTCACTGATTTAATATTTAATTATCTGTGCTGTTTTGCCTTGAAAACAAACAGCTTGCTGGTGAAGAAAATATTTTAAATTTTGTTCATTACTGAAAAATGCAGAATGATAATCTGCAGCCCTAGATACCCTGAAGGAAGTGGAAGGCACTGATACCCACCAGTCTTTTTGTCCTTTGCCCTGTACACCACGCCATAGGTTCCTTCTTCAATCCTGTTCAAACACTGGAATTCCTCCACGCTGCGACATCCCTGAAAAAACACCGGGACAACATTTACTCCTCCAGCACCTGGGGGAAGGCTTTGCTTTTTCAAAACTTCAGCAACTTCACAGTTAAAATTTACCAGAAGAATTCAGCTATAAACCATATGAGAAAGGTACCTCTGGGGTTTTTCATAGAATTTCTAAAGGAATCTTGGACAGAGCCTGTGTTCCAGGAGATTAACTAAATTATTCCATTCACTTTTGCACAGAATAATCTGAACCACAAAGGCAAAGGCAGCAACTCAGCACCTTTCACATAATTAATTAGTAAAAATCTAATTTTTATTAGTATTTCTACACTTTGCTGTTGGCTAGATAAAAAATAACCAGTTTCTGTTTATGAACACAGAAGGATCTATGTTCACAAGGATCTACTTTCAGACAGCAATACCAAGATAACAGATCTCAATGATATAATTACATTCTTATCTACATTTAAGAGGGTGATCTCCTACCTGGAGGGCAGGAAGATACTTGGGAAGCTCCTGTTTCAGCTCAATGGGGGAGGAAGCTGGAGAATCAGGAATGTATTCCCCTTCTGTCATGGCATTGGAATGAGGGGATCCCTCCCCGACCTCCTCCTCCTCCACCTCACTCCCTGCAGAATCCCGGTCAAACCTCGACTCTGGAACTTTAAAAGTCAGAATCAGTCGTGGAAAGAGGAATTAAACTCATCTTTAGGCAAAGAAAGGTGCTGACATTGAGCACTGCATGGGAGAGGATGGTGGAGAAGCCAAATTTCTCCTCTTGGCAAAGGTGATGCTTTCAAGAATCCACCTACAGTTTCCAGTGTTAACGCAGCAGGTCAGAAAAATAAATCTTTACACCAGAATGAAAGAGAAAACTGACCCAGGATGTCTCATCCTCATTCTGGGTCTCATTCTCTGATTTTGAGAGGACAGGACAAAAGAACACAAAATGAAAGAGAAGGAAACATCAGCCAATTAGACCGATTCCCTCTAAGCATAAAGCTTGGAGCAGATTTCAAAAAATTTTTGAGTTTGACATGAGAATAGCATTTTAATCTTTCAAGGATCTGTAGAAATAGATTTATTTAGCTGCAAAAACTCAGGCAAACACTTCTTTAAAACATTCAATATTTGCATTGTACCAACTGGGATGTGGTTTCCATTCTCCCGTTCCTCCTCTTCACTCATTTCCTCTTCGCTCACCTCCTCTGCAAAACAGAACCAAGTTTTATTAGAAAAAATCCACATTTCTGCAGCTCCTTGGAAGACAAATCCCTGATGAAATCCTCTCCTATCTCACCAGGCTTCTGCACTGTCAGTGACCAAGAACTTCTGTTTCACCCAGACAGCAAATGCTTCCAACAGGGAACACAACTCTTATCAATTCTCTGGGAATTGGGATGTGGGCAGGTAAATAAATTATGAATATTTTCTTATTAACTGTTATTGATTTTGAAGAAAAATACCCAGCCATCAGAGCCTGCTCTTGTGTCTTTTCTTTACTAATTAATGACAAGAACAGCTGCACTCAGACTTCTTTACTAAACTTTGTGTTATTACATGTATTCATTCAGAAAGAAGTTATATAATTTGCAACAGAAAATAATTCAAAATTACAAAGACATTTGGATTTCACCACACCCCAAAGAAGTGCAAACTGTGCTCTGCAGAGTATCTGATGTGTTACAGAACCAGTTAGGGAGACAAAAATGGCTTTTAGGTTTCTGATCTGGCTTCTTAGATGAAGAGTTGGTATTCAATCTACACAAAGGGATAGAATAGGACTTGTACTTGGTTTTTTTTTCTTTTTAGTTATCTTAACCTGTGAGGTCTCAGCCTAGCCTAGACTAAGAGAAAAGGAAAATATGCAAATAAAACAACACAGGATGAGGAAAGAAAGAAAATCACACACCCCTGCAGCCCTGCTTGGTGATATCCTCACCTGCTGATTGCTCAGACACTTCCTCAGAATTGCTCCCTGTCTCCTCCTCCTCCTCCTCCTCTTCCTCTCCCTCTTCCTCAGAGCCTTCACTGCTGGACTCTTCCTCCTCCTCTTCTGAGCCTGATCCAGATTCTGTCCAGGAATAATCAGGCACTTAACACTTGCAGTGTTTGCTCAGCAGAGAAATTAATGACATCTGCACAATTAATTACAGGTCCTAAACTGCATTCAATCACCTGAGGAAGACTCTGCTGAGCTGGTTTTTCTCTCACTGTCGCTGATGTCTTGCAAGTCTGACAGAGGATCCCTCTCTTCTGGTTTCTCTTCTTTTACTGCTGAAACCACAAAAAATTAAAAACACAGTGCTAATTGAGTATCACTTCCAAGCCCCTGAATTCCCAGTTAACTGCTTCACTTTCTGCTGGCATTAAATCAGTGCTGAATATTCAGTATTGGAATTTCAGAGCACTAAAATAAAAAAAAAAAAATAATCATTTTACACTCTGCTCAATGACAAACAGCTTTTCTGAATTACAGTGGTGCAGGATCAACAGCCAAAAATATGGAATATTGACCTGATTTTTTTGATGTGTTCCTAAGGTCTTCTAAGATGAATTAAAACAGGGGGGAAAAGGGAAAAAAAGGACCATGGTGACAAGAATCACCAGGACAGGGTTCCTATGCTCTGGTTACTCTCAGTGCTCACTGCTCCAGTGCAGTGATCACCATGCATGAAAAATCCCTGCTGGTTGATGAGGCAGGAGTCCCAGGCTTGCTGCCTGCCTCCACCTGGAATTCCAGCGGATTCCATCCTGCTCATAGTGGCTACACTTCTTTTGACAGGTGCACACGTTAGCAAGGCAGACACAGAGCTTTCCTCCTTCAAACAAAGGCATTTTTATGTCACTTGTGCAAGTTCTCTACCCCCAGAACCTTCAGGGGGGATCATTTTCTGGCTTGGAAAACAAAATCCACCATCTAAGCAGAGCTCTGCCTTCAGAATGCAATTTCTTCTTCAAGCTGCCAGAATCAGTGATGCTTACATTGATCCCTGTGAGGTCACTTTTTAGGGTAGTTTAGCTCCTAACCCCAAATCCAACTGGAGCTGGAGTAACCAATCCCTTTTTAACCTGCAAGGCAATTCAACTGCAGGATTTTAAAAATTCAGTCAGCTGCTTCTTTCACCACTGAACCGGGGAACTCATTTTGCAACTTTTCCAATTGCTACTCCTACCCCTAAATCCATTCCATTTATCACTTGCGCATCTCCTGCAAAACCAGCACTGCTTTAGAAAAGAGATATCCCTGAAGATTCCAGAGTTGCACCGCTGGGGCTGAGCTAGACAAGACTTTAACTGAGCACCTGGGATGTTTGTTTGAGACTAAAAATTAATTGAATTTGATTTTTACCCCAGCCCAGCTCCTGCTGCCCCCCAAGACAGTGTAGAGTGGCAGATGCTACCTGGTTTCCTGCTCTCTCCTTGCTCAAGCTTGTCTCTCTGCTGGCGCAAAGGGCTGCGACTCCAGGGTCTCATTTTTACTTTGTCTCCATATTCTTCCCTCACTGTTCTATGGTGTGCAGAAACTAGGGAAAACAAAACCACAAAAAATTGTTACAGCTGCCTAATTAGAGTTGTCCTGTCTGCCACAGACACCTGATTTGAATGATTTTTATTTTTTTTTAACAGAGTAACGGGGAAGAGTGGGAGAGGAACCTACTTAAATCTGGGAGAATGAAGGGCTTTGATTTATCTCAAATAAAATAAGGATTTGTACTGCTTAGAGAAAGCTGCTGCCACATTTAAAAAGAGAAGCAAGCTACCCTGTATGTTACACAGTAAATACCCTTATTCTAAAGCATTAATGCCAGAGAAAGAAGTGGAAAATATGTAAAAGAATAAAACCAGCTGAGGTTTAGAAGGAGCTGACGGAACATTCAGAGCAATAAAACCAATTAAATGAAAGGTTACACAGGTTGAGCACTATCAGCATAAAGCCAAGCACAAAAAGGAGCTGTTTGGTATGAGCTGAGCAAGAAAGAGAAAGCAAAAAATATGGTTTGTTCTGCTATTCTTGAATAATCCTTTTCACCTGATTACAGGAATGGGCTCTGATTTTTACCTCTGAAAGCTGGGACAGAGATCCTTGAACCAAAAATTATCTGAGCTGAGGCTGCAAACACCCAACACAAGCTGTGCAAAGAGTTCAAGTGCAGAACTTAAACTGTTCAGGCACCAGATCCTCCCACCTGACTCCCACTACAGCATTTTCCATGCCTGGAGTACTTACATGACCTCTCCCTCTTTGCAATTTATTCCCCCAAATCCTTAAAACATTGTATTTTGAGGTTTCAACCTCTATCAAATTGAGTTAGATTCAGCCAAAGAGTTCAGAAGCACTGGAATTGTGCTGGGTGCACACAGTGGCACCTCCAGAAATCTTGTTTTTATAGGAAACCTCCCTGACAGGGAGAGGCAAAGACTCACTGACTGACCAACTTCTCAGGATATTTAAGGCACATAATATCATCCCATTGTTTTATCTCCCCATGTAAAACTTAAATTTCCTTTCCCTTCCATGTCAAAGGCCCCCCCGCTATAATTTTTTTAAAATTCTGGCACTGCTTTAATAAAAAGCACTTTCTATCCCTCCATTGCACCACTGTGCCAGCAGGTAGGAAAGTGATAGTAAATATGAAGAAGATTTATACAGAGGGAGTCACCTTCTCTCCTGGCTTCCCTCTCCTTCCTCCTCTCCTCAGCTCTCCTCTCTCGCTCCTTTTGCTCCCTCTGTTCCTTCTGCTGCTCCCGGATTTTTCTTTCCCTTTCTCTCTCCAGTTGCTCCAGACGATCTCTGAAAAATAATTTTTGTTTGTTACAAATTCAACTCATGAAGAGAAAGAAAACTGGTTTGCAGCAAAACCACAGGACTCAACTTCCTTATCAACACCCCCAGTTGTGCATCAGTCAGAAAGGGGTGGAGTTTTTCAGCTGATCCTTTAAAAAACAGGTTTAAAAGATCCAGACCAGGAGTCCTCCACCCTATCAGGATTTAAACAGAAATTAAGCCAGTCCAGTTAATTAATCCCCAGATAATCCAGATAATTAATCCCCTGTGCAAATCTGGCTTGTACTTATTTTTTTTAGGTTGGAAAAAACCTCTAACACCATCCAATCTTTTCATTACAGTGAACCACTGGCAGTGACTTCACCTGGAATATCCATGGTAATAAAGCACTTAAAAATAATTAAAACAAAGAACACATTCCCCATCAGACAACACATTTCCAGGAACACAGACAAGTTTTCACTGTGGATATTTTTTTTTTTGGTCATTTCACACCAAGAAATGCCCAGAGGAGGCAGCTGCTGATGTCCTTCCCCAGGGGAGGGAGGGATGGATGTACCTCTCCCTCCTGGAATGCTCCCTTGCCATCTCTCTCCGTTTCTGTCTCTCCCATTCACGCCGGGCTTTATCCTGCTCTTCTCTATGTCTCTTCCTACGCTCATGCTCCCGTTCTTTCTCTTTCACTCTGGCATGCTTCCCTTGAACAAACAGAAATCAATTTCCAAGTGTTACTGCTCAAAATAACCACCAGAAGCAAAACTTAGGGGGTGAAACTGATGGGAACTATTGCCGTGACCTCTGTTGTTTTCTTAAAGGGAAAATCCTGTTCTGAAAGGAAGTTGGCGAGCCCAAAGTCTGTAAGATTTTGCATGAATACTTGTATTAAAGTAAAAAGTGGTTTTAATTGAGAGGAAGACAATGGGAATGTCTCTAAGAAGGAAATTTTTAGACTCTTATCAGGCTTCAAGGAGTAAAAGTGACCCCAGTGTCCCTGTCCCAAAGTGGTTTCTGTCCTCTCAACCATGTTCACACCCCTGCCATTCCCCTAAGGGCTCTAAACACAGCCAAAGAAATAAAAACAGTTTAAATTCCTCTGTCTTATCCACCTGCTGTGTTTCTATCAGTCTGAGTTATTGTTATTTACTCTATTCCCAGAAAGCAGAAAGTTCCAAGAGTGGCAAGAAGCACCTTCTGCAGAGTGACTCCTGTGCCTGCGTTTTTCTTTCCTCTTCTCATCTTTCCTGTGATGGGTTTTTTCTTTCCGGGACATTTGCTGGGGTGGTTTGATAGCCAAGGAATCATCTTCTTCTCCCCTGAAAGGCAAGACAGAAATAAACTCAGGGAGTTGAATAAATTCAGGAGTAAACTCAGGGAGGTGACAGGGGAAATCAGATTTCCTTGTTTGGAAAAGATGCCCATTTTATATTGTAAAAATATGTAAAAGAATAAAACCAGCTGAGGTTTAGAAGGAGCTGACAGAACATTCAGAGCAATAAATCCAATTAAATGAAAGGTTAACACAGATTGAGCACTATCAGTATAAAGCCAAGCACAAAAAGGAGCTGTTTAGTATGAGCTGAGCAAGAAAGAGAAAGCAAAAAGTATTTGTTCTGCTGTTCTTGAATAATCTTTTCCACCTGATATTTATATTGAGTTTCCACAATAAATCCAAACTGGAGCACAACACTGTTAAATCTTAACCAGCGCTTCAAAAAGTTACCCTGGAGTGTTCTATAAAAAGGATTTCCACTTCTGCACACTAAAAAAATTTGATTTTCCCTTCAGATAGTTGAGACCCTTTCCTCAGGATGCTGAAAGGTTAATTTTTTCTTTTTATTTCCTCACTCTTACCTGTCTTCCATGGAGTCTTCCCTCCTGTAAGGTGAATTCCTGATGGTGATTTCCATGCGATGGTCTCTCAGCTCCCCCTCCTCAAGAGAATCCCTCTTGGAATCCCTGTCATCTGACTGAGGGAAGCACAGCAGAGAGGAAAACCCATTTATGTGTACTGCTCAAAATGAAAATAATTCAATGTTACTGACATCTTCCACTGCTGGCTCAAGGACTGGTCATCCCTGTAAAATTCTCTGATTTATGACAGCAGTGCTTTATTAGAGCTGCATTAATTGGACATAATTAGGCAAAATTAAGCACTGAGGAGGAGTGCAGTAACTATTGTGTGTTTTTTTTCTCCAATAATTATTTTGTACACAGCTGTAAAAAACCAAACAGCATGATAAAAGTGATTCCAAACCCATTATTTTAACCCATTCTTCTATAAAACCTTTAAAAGTTGCTCCTTGAACTGCAAGCCCCAGATGATTATTTTATTTATTTTTATTTTAATAAATATTTGTATATTTTTATTTATATCAAATTAATTTGTTCAAACATTATTGTATATAACTATATATAATTATCTAAATTTAAATTATTAACTACATTAATTTCTCTTTTCTAACCAATAACTAAATAATAATAATTCTGACCAATAACCAAACAACAAGATAAAAGCGATTCCAAACCCATGATTTTAACCCATTCTTCTATAAAATCTTTAAAAGTTGTTCCTTGAACTGCAAGCCCCAACTTTATCTGTTTATTTATATACATATATTTCTATCTTTAAATTTATTTAAAATTAATCTATTTAATTTAAACATTCATTATTGTACATAATTATATATAATTATCTAAATTTAAATTATTAACTACATTAATTTCTCTTTTCTGAACCAATAACTATAACAAAGCACAGCATATAATGCAAGACCAGTGAAATCTTCACAAAGCATCATGTTTGTTAAACTTTGGAATTGGAGACCACACAGAAAAAACTTCAGCTGACAGAGCATGAGAAAATCAGGAAAATCACCAGAAAATCAGGCACAGCACCCCATTAAAATGAAGCTTTTTATTAACAAAGGAAATAAGTCCATTAAAATGAGTCCCAAAGGGCAGCTTACATTTTTCATACGTTTGATCTCTGCCTTCTCCTCTTGCTCCTTCCTTCGTTTCTTCTCCTGGAGAATCTCATCTAAAGTCTTCACTTTCCAAGAATCCTTTTCATCACCCATTTGAGTTAAAAAAAACCACCCTCTGTAAAAGAATGAGACGTTGACAAACCCCACAAATAAACAGAGAGAAATCAAAAGAAATCTATTTTGCACCCATTTTTTTCAGCGCAAACACTTCATGTCCTATTTTTGAGTAAAGCCATGCTGGAGTTGATTTATGGTGGACCAAAAATGTTTGTTTTAAACCCAAAGGCAAGATCCTGCTAAGAACTCAGGGAGCTGCTGCAGGGCACAAAAATCAATTTATGGCCAAGGTTTGGCACCACAGATTTAACAACGAGCTGAGGCCTCGGGGAGGAAACAAAGCTTGGGGGAAAAAAGGACACGAGGAACGTGAAATTTATGGGATATCAGGCAGAATTGCTAAGATAAGGAAGAAAATAATGCAGATTTCAGCTGTCACTGAGGAAAAGGTAATTCCAGCACGACTGGCGTCCCCTCAGCCCCTCAGTGTCCCTTCAGCAGCGCTGGTGTGCACTCAGCAGCCCGCTGTCCCCACAGAACCCCCGCTGTCCCCTCAGAATCCCCGGTGTCCCCTGAGTGGCCCGGGTATCCCCTCA